CCCCTAAACATAACTTGAATCTATTGATTTAACTCCATTTCTTTTTAAAATTAATTAACTTATTGATTTTTACAGGGAGAGGAAGTGAGAGGGAGAGAAAGGGAAAAAGAGAAACACACATTGATTGGTTGTTCCACTTATTTATGAATTCAGTGGTTGATCCTTGTACGTTCCCTGACTGGGGATTGAACCCACAACCTTGATGTATTAGAACACTTATCTAACCAATTGAGCTACCCGGTCAGGGCTCTTTATCTTCATTTCTACTATCTTGTGCTTGCCAACTTATTTCACCTCTCTGTGACTCAGTTTCCTCATCTGTAAAATGGATGGTTTCATCCACTTCTTAGATTGTCATATATGGGCTCATATATGTACTTAGAACAGACACTATCTAAGGGTTGATTGCTATTTTTGATGTTATAATCACTGTTTTATTATTGTTGCAGTGGTTTCCTAGGCTGTCTTCCTCTTCTCCCATTTCCCCACTGAATTTATTATTTATACGGAACCCAGAGTGACTGTTATAAACTAAATGTCAGCACACGTCACTGTCTAGCTTGTCATTCTCCATGGCTTCCCAATGCATTTAGAGAGAAATCAGTATTCATTCCAGGCTCACAAGGGTTGCCCAGATCATCCCCCAGTGCTGTGTTTAACTACATTCTCTCCTTTCTGGCTCTGTAGACATGGTGGGGGGAGGAGTTCTTCCTTGAGGGTCTGCACCAGTGGTGCCCTCTCCTGGAATATGCTTCTAGACCTTCCATGACTGGGGCCCCTGAATTCGGGTCTCAACCCTAATGTCACCACCTCTGAGAGGCCTTCCTTGACCATTCTACACTTCCTTTACTTTGCTCTCAATCCCCAGTTACTATCTTAATACCTAAAAAAATTTTTTCTTTACAGCACTTACTACTAGTCAAATGAGAACAAATGCGTTTTGTTGGGCCACAATGTCGTAATTCTGCTAGCATCACTATTCTGCTTGGATGCCTCAGGTAAGGCAGCTGTCCCCCTCCACAGCCTCTGCTCTCCTGGCTCTCACACAGGACCTAGACCGTCACAGGAGCCGCAGCCCCAGGCACGTTTGTGTCTCCCACTCAGCATGGGCTAGACACACCAAAACACAAATACTAGTACAAATGCTCATTCCAAAGTATTGGCTTGAGAGAGGTCATCCAGGAGATTCATAATAGGCTTATAGTATTTTTTAAAGCCTGCCATCAAAACAAAAACACAAAATTAAAACGTTGAGGAGAGAAAATGATGGATTCCTGAGATCCACCCATAGCCCCACATCTGAGAAACACTGTCCTGTGTGAATCTTTTCTGCTCAGGAAATAAATAGCCTCTCCCTTCCTTAGTGTCTAGCTGAGATTCCCTGAGTCAGGACTGTCTTCTGACTTCCTACTGGGAGAAAAGCTGTATTTATAGCGAACGAATGAAATACTAGCCAGCTCTGCTAAGTACTGACAGAGATCCTGCTGACTGCTATCCTGGGACTCCCTTGTTTTGCTCACACTAATAGGGGCTGCTGTCCTAGAGGGTGCCAGCCAGCTTGGTTCCCATGAAAAAGTGATGGCAAAGAATAATCTCCAAAAAGTCATTTCACTGTTGTGAGCTAATGAGATATTAATATTCCAGAGGCAACCAGAGATGGAGAGGCCCAGGGTGGAACAAACAGGCTCATCAAGCATCTTCTCTATTCTCAGTGCTTTAGACATTTTATCTCATCTAGTCTTCATGGCCATCAGTGAAGTAAGTATTATTGTGTCCACTTTACAGATGTGTGTGTTAAAGCTCTGAGCTGGTAAGTGACTGGTCTCAGGTACAGGGGAGGAGCTTGAATCTGTGCTACTCTGACTCCAGACCTGTATTTTTCCATTACACTATGCGACTTCTCATATTTGATAATATGAAGAAGCTCAGAAATGAAAATGCGACTTCTCATATTTGATAATATGAAGAAGCTCAGAAATGAAAATGTTTACTGTGAATGCACTTATATATATTAATATATATTATATATATATATATTGTGTGTGTGTAAATATATATAGTCTATTAAAATACAGCTAAAACACAAAGACACCTGTTTTGTGAATAATGGTTGAAAAAAATTGAGTTTTAATTCAAAGAAAAATGTAGTCCTTAGACGTTTTAAGAACTGTTATGTAAAGACAGTGTCCACTGTACCAATGAGTAGATCTTGGCCAAGTGGTTTTGAGTCTGAGGTAGGAAAGTTATCTTTTTTACCCCCCTCCCAGTTCAACTTGAAGGACTTTTGAGTAAACAAAGTGCACGGGTGGAGTCCCTCTGGATGGCCTGCAGGGACTGGGAAACCCGCAGTCCAATGCTGCCTGCAGCTCCTACCTGCTGCTCCTGCTCATCCCGGCCCCACTGCGCCTGCAGCGAGTTCGTACCCCATCAGTCGAGATAGGGAGAAGCTCGTGCACCCCCCCAAGGGGAGTGGCCTGTGGGATGGGGCTGAAACCAGCTCTCTGACATCCCCTGAGGGGTCCCAGATTGTGAGAGGGCACAGCCAGGCTGAGGGACCCCACTGGTGCATGATTGGCCAGGGAGGGACCATGGGAGGGCTCCAGGGTGTGTCCAGCCATCTCGCTCAGTCCCTATCAGCTGGATACTAGCAGCAAACTAACCTACTGGTTAGAGAATCCGCCCTCTGGTGGTCAGTGCACATCATAGCAAGCGGTTGAGCAGCCTTAGCATATCATTAGCATATTATGCTTTGGTTGTTCTGCCATTAGGTCTATTTGCATATTACCCTTTTATTATATAGGATGGCTCATATAATAATTGAGATGCAATGAATCTCATTTCGGATGAGGGTAGGTTCAGTTCTAAAGTCAATATGAAAGAACACCACAAATTGCCCTTATAAATCCCTTACGAAGAAGGTGTCACAGACTACGTTTCCCAGTACTTGCCCATCACAGCCAGTTTGTGCCCAGGGTTGAAATGGATTGCTGATTCTTTGATGAAAGTGTGAGAGAAGAAGTCAGCTTAGTTTAGAGCCTAGCTCAGCCGTGGGCAAACTACGGCCCGCGGTCCGGATCCGGCCTGTTTGAAATGAATAAAACTAAAAAAAAAAAAAAGACCGTACCCTTTTATGTAATGATGTTTACTTTGAATTTATATTAGTTCACACAAACACTCCATCCATGCTTTTGTTCCGGCCCTCCGGTCCAGTTTAAGAACCCATTGTGGCCCTCGAGTCAAAAAGTTTGCCCACCCCTGGCCTAGCTGCAGGAAAAATGTGTATCTAGCTATACATTATGATCATGGCACACTCAATCACACTGAGATGCGCCCTGTATGTGAGGCACGAGGGAACTGAGACTGACTCGGGGTACATCAGAATTCCATCGTCCCCTCAAAATGTCATACCAGGGCCAATGCTCATCCAGTAACTAATGCAAACCATTTCCTGAGATGTCTAAATTGTTTCCCCTCATTCAAATAAATGTACATGGAATGCAGGTCCACCAACCTACCTTGTGCCATCATTCAATTCTAACCACTAAACTAGGAGTTCCCCCTTGTTGAATACGACTGTCTGTTCCTTGATGTACTCACTCCTCTAAGATTTGGTTCCTGTCTACCTTCACCATCCCATTTCTTTCCATTCCTTATTACACTTTCTATACTCTAACTCCACTTAACTACTTCTAATTTCCAAAATAATATGTTACTTCATACCTCCTACCTCTGCTTATAGTGCCCCTTCCCATGTTATCCAGCGAATGTTGACCCTCAGCATTCATTTCAAATACTTCCCTTCTGTGCTTGTTTGATTGGACTGACACTACTATTCTTCACGCCTCCCTGGGACCCTGCGCTTCAGTGCCTCCCACTGTGATGCTGGGCTTAGTCCTGTCACTTGCTTTGACCAATAGGAGGTCAGCAAATGTGATACCGCAGAGGCATGGAAAGTGTTTGTGCTATTGGCTTTGTCTGCTGCCACTGCTGGGACAGCATTCCTCAGTTAGCTCGCTGGAGGATGTGATGAGGGTGCTAAGTCGAGTTGCACCAAGGTCATCCCCGCCAAGGTCATCCTAGATCAGCCAGATGCAAGCTGAACCCCAGACATAGGAGCAACCCAGTCAACTTGCACCTAGTATCTAAGTTCGGGAGATCTGATGCACAACCTAGTCATTAGAGTAAAAATATACTTATTAGAAACTTCAATGTTGCTAAGAGACTAGATCTTAACTGTTTTCAACACACACAAAAAGAAATAATTATATGAGGTGATAAAGATGTTAGCTAACCCGCTGTAGTGGTTATATTATGATGCATAAATGTATTAATCCAAAAGGCTGTGTACCTCAAACTGAGACATTATACATCAATTATATCACAATAAAAAATAGTATGTGCACACCTGAGGTAGAATCACAGCTCAGCAAGTGGCAAACTTTCTGAGCCCAAGTGTTTTTAGCTATAAAATGAAGACAGAGGCAGCAACTTTGATGCCTTCTTGAGAAGATGAAATGAGAAAATCTGTATTAAGTAGCCAGGTCAATGCATTAAAAGAGCTCAACATTATTTGGTTGAGTGAATTAATGACCTAACACTTCCATGGGAAAATTCTTAGAATGAATGCAGCAAAAATAGAAGGTCTTTGTTCCATTACCAGTTCCGAACATCCTGGCAGCTGCCCTGGACTTTTTGTAGCCTCTAATTCAATTTATTACTATGGAAGCTGATGTTTCAATTTACTGAACCCAACTGTACAATAAATAAAAGTACCTCAGAGGACCATCTTTGCAACTTAATGTCAGCATGGTTGTTAAATGTGGTTTATTTAATCTCTCATCTAAAACAAGAGCTGCAGTTTGTTGCTTCTACATCTGCTCTTCCCGCAACCCTTTGGAGAAATACCGATGCCTGGCCTGTGCTTACTGCCTGCTTGTGAGCAGGCTCAGTGGCCTCATTGGCAGGCTACACTCCTGCACAATTAAGAAACAGGTACTTACCTCTCTGGAGGCAGGTAGCCTTCCTTCACAGCTGCTGCAAGAGCAAAAGGGAGAGTGAAAAAGAGATGGTAGCGGCAGCCTGATTAAAGCAAATTGTGTTTGTGCAATGACCTGACTCCAGAGACACAATGTGGTTGGCAACTCACCTGTGCCCCAAGCCTCCCCTTCCCTGGCATCCAGATGATCACTGCCTATATCGCAGCCCTCGCCCACACTTTATGGTGCTTAATCATGAGTACACTCTCCTGTATTAGACTTTGACCTCCTTGAGTACCAGGATGTCTGTTGGGTTTCTCTCTTAATCTCATGCCTGTCACAGGGCCTGGCAAAGAGAATGCATGCTTGAAATAATGATAACATTGCACTTACAGAGCTCTTACTGGTGTGACAATAACTACGAAGTCTTTCCATGCCTCATCTCATTCATTTATCCTCACAATAATCTATATGGTGAGTGTTATTGTCATCTCTATGTACAGGCAAGGACAATGAGGCTCAGGGAGTAACATGCCCAAACTTAAACAGCTAGTGTGTGTGTGTGTGTGTGTGTGTGTGTGTGTGTGTGTGTATGGGGGGGGCGCTACAATTTACAAAGCCCATTTTATTATAAAAGACTTACTTTGTTTTATGTCCTCTCACAACTTTCTTCCCTTTTAGAGAGATGGTTTGAGCCCTAAATTATTTAATGTTTATAGACTTCCCTGATATGGAGGTGGCTGTATTCTTAACGTATAATGCTAAGAGCCCTGTTTCTCTATATAGAATTTTCTTTTAGGATGAGACCTAAGATGACTTATAGTAGTGGTTCTCCAAGCGTGGTCCCTGGAGCAGCAGCATGAGCAGCCCCAGAGAACTTGTTAAAAAGGTAAATCCTCAGGCCTCCAACCCAAACTAACTGAGCCAGAAACTCTGGGATGGGGCCCAGTAGTGTGTTTTAACAGGTCACCTAGGTGATTCGGATGCACACGAAAATTTGGGAACCACTGAGTTCAAGAAATTTAACCATGAAGTTGCCCAGAGCAGTCAAATGAACAACCAATGAGCTAGAAGTAGCTCGTTTAGTGCCCCATCTGCCGGCACTCATGGTCAAAGTAAAACATGTTAGCACAGTCCGCCCTACCCTTCCCGTTTCATTAGAGCAGACAGAACAAAGGTGTTTAAAATGTCAATAGGGTGAGTCTGGAGTGGGGGTGTAGATGAGCAAGGGTGCCTCTATGTGTCAGAGTTAGACACCTAACAGCACAGAGAAATGGCTCCCAAGGTGCCTCAGTCCTGGAAGGGACCAGTGGGGGCAGGTGGGAGCCCTTCAGTGAATTACTGCAGGCAGATTGCAGAGGCCTGAGGGACCTCCCTCATGACCGCAGGTCAAGTTCACACTGCCTGCCTCCCTTTCACTGCCTCCCCCTCGTCTTCTGCACAGGCTGTGTTGACAACACATACTTTGTGGGAAACACAGAGGTGCTCTGCCTCCCTGCCCTGCTCCTTTTCATTTTCTTCCTCTTGGACGGATTCCCAGTGATCAAATGCAAGGCTTTCAGGGGAAGCGGGCTGGCTCAGGAGCGATAAGGGGCCAATTCCCAAAGGTTTGTCATTTCACGGGCAAGCTGCCACGGTCTCTACGTGAGAATGAGCAGTGATGGATGTCCAGCCCTGGAGAAGCAGTTCAGCATTGGCACCGGGCGCTCATGTGGAAAGGGAGGTGCCGGGGTGTGGGGGTGGGGGGATACTGGCCCACTGTGTGTGGTGGTGGTGGGGTTGTGAGGGCTGTGCATTTCCTCACCTTCCCTGGGGGTCTTGGGAACTGCAGCTGTCCGCCTCAGGAAGGCCTGGAGGCTCACTCCTGGAGGCTTCGGTGGCTTCACGGGAGGAGGACCCAGGGACTCCACGGAAGGCAGTGGTTTCGTTTTGGGAAGCTGGTGATGCTTGACATCTGGGTCTTTTTCTGAGCACAAAAAGCCACAATGTAGGTTGTCAATTGTTTCCATTTTATGGCCTGTGGGGAGAAACTGATGAGTTGCCTTGCCTCATTCTCATCCCCCCACATCTATACTCCACCCAGTAGCCAGAGTGTCCAGATGGAAACACGGCCCTGATCTTGTCACCGTCCTGCTGCCCAGAGGATGAACTGCCATTTCCTCAGCATGCCCTTTGTTGGCTCCTTCCTCTGGCATTTAAACAGCACACGGCCCCAGTCGACATTTCCAGATTATTTTCTTACCGGATTTTATTATCCTACTTCCCTGACCTGAAGCCCAAACATCTTTCACTCACATCATTGGCTTCTCAGTTCCCAGATTGGATTTTACAGGCCTTCAAAAGCTTTCGTATATCCAGGATTTTGTTCATGCCGTTCCTGGATCCTAGAATGCTGTTCCCTTTTTTCTTTCATGCCAAACTTCAACTCTTCCTTTAAGGCCCTGCTCCAATGACACCTCCTCTAAGAAGCTTTTCTTGATTGCTCCCAGAAATCTAGGACTCTGTTTTATATCCCCATAGCACATTGTTAACACCTCTCCAGCAGCGTTGTGGCTTATTAGAGGGGCTGGTCTAACTTCTCACTGAGTGTTAGGCCACATTGACCTTTCCCTAGCACCAAGTACAGGGCCCAATTCAGAGGAAATGGACAACTGAAAGGATTCTTCAGGGACATATGATGGGCAATAACATGGGTGCTATAAAGAGGAATCAGGATTGATCTCTGATTTCCAGGGCTCATAGCCTAACACAGGCTTCAAGGCTGACTTTGGTGGTACCTAGGCACCTGTGGATTTTGCGTCCTGGAATTTGGCAGGATAATCCCAGTTTTGCATATTTTATTCTTAGCCAAACTCAACAGAAATTTCAATATTATAGATGAAAATTATATCTGCTTCTTCGGAAAATAATGCAAACTCTTATATTAACCAAGCGCTTTGATTTTTGGTGCAAAAAGTAGGGGTTGATTACATGGTATAACTGGCTAGTGTTTCCCAAATATACCAGTGAGACTCTCAAAGTCCTGCTGTCCCCTGCAAGCAGAGGGGCTTTGTTCTTGCCCTCCCAGCAGGGCCAAAGTTTCTCTCTTCTGGGGTTATACATCCCAATGTCAGTAATTTTAGTCTTTATCAAATTAAGGACATGACAGTGAAAGCAAATGATCACTTGCTTATTGGGCCCCTAATTATTCCCAGGCAGTGTGCTCAGTGGTTTACATATGGGTTATCTTTTTCAATCCTCATAACAGTTCCACCAGGTAGGTAATCAACACATCTATCCTCCTTCCTTCCCACATAACCCTCCTCCCATTCATCCCCTCTTCTTTCCCATCTATTCATCAGTAATTACTTATCTACTATATTATAGGCATGGTTCTAGGGGCTGGGGATAGAGCTGAACAAGAATAAGAGCAGACACAGTTCTTCCCTCAGGAATTTTTCTTCTAATAGGACAAGACTGATGATAAATAGGTAAACAAACAAACAAACAAGATAATTTCATTCTTATAGGATGAGACTGATGATAAACATGTAAACAAACAAGATGTGTTAGTTCTATAAAGGAAATAAAAAAGAGGATGATACAAAGAGTGCAAATCTTGGTGGTGAGCAAGTGGTCTTTAGATAGGGGGGCTAAAAAAGATTTATCCGCAAGTGTTATTTGACTTTGACCTCCGTGAACCTAGTATATAAAAGTTAAAAAAAAAGTTTTTTTTTAGGAAGAGGGAACAGCAATAGTAAAGGTCCCGAGTCACAACAAAGTCTGTTGAAGGAACAGCAAGAAATCCAGTGTGTTCACTATGGGCTAGTGAGCCAGGGGAAGAGGCAGGAGGTAAGTTAGAGACATAAACAGGGATCAAAAGAAGCAGGACCTTGAAATGAGTAGTAATTTAGATGCTATTCTAAGTTCAAAGAGATTAGAAGCAGGCAATCCATCCACCCACCTCATCAGTCCATTTCAGTCATTCAATAAATATGCTTTGAGAACCACTGAACCTGGCGCCTTGTCCTTCTAGATTCTGGGGATATGGTGGTAAACACAGTTCTTATTCTCATGTAACTTACATTTTACTAGGATAAACCAATATATAATATAGTAAGTAGGGAGAAGTGATATGATGAAAATTAAAGCAATGTAAGAAGATAGTGATGGGGTGCCATGGCTATTTTAGATAGAATGATCCACAAGATCCACTCACAGCAGGTGACACTGAGCAGAGACCTTGATGAAATGTTTGAGTCAGATATTAGAGACCTGGGGGAAGAGTGTTCCAGGCAGAGGAATCAGCAAGTGCAAAGGCCTGCGGTATAACCAGCTTGATATATCTAAGGGGCAACAAAAAGGCCAATGTGATGAGAGAGGAGAAGGTAAGAAGGGTAGGCAAAGACCAGATCACATGAACACCGTAAGATGGCTGGAGTTGAATTGGAGCAGAAGCCTGATGTGATACGACTTATGTTTTAGAGGATCACTGTGCCTGCTAGGAAGAGAGCAGAATATAAGAGAGCAGAGTGTGAAAGCAGGAAGATGAGTTGGACCATTGCAGTGGTCCAGGCAAGAGATAACTGTAGTGTGGACATGTGCAGAGGGCAGAACTGGGGGGATACAGAACACATTTTAGTAATAGAACCAAGAGCTTGCTGATGGATTGGATGCAAAGAATGAAGGGAGAGGGGAACAGAGCATGACTCCTACATTTTGGGTGTGAGCAACAAGGAAGACTGTTGTCCTGTTTACTAAGACAGGGAAGACTGGTGATGAATCTGATTTGTAGGAGAGCAGATCAGGCTCTATGAAGTTAAGCAGATTGCCCAAGTTCATGCATCTTATAAGAAGTAGAACTAGGATTCAAATCCAAGTTTGCTTAAACTGTCTCTCAATATAATTCCAGGAGATTAGTCACTTTGCCCAAACCTGAAAATTACAATTTAGCAGATGCTCCTATAATACCTGCATTTAGAGCAAAGATTGCTGAGGTCACATATGTGACCTTCTCAAGTTCCCCAGCTTTAAGTTGGAAAAATGCAATGAGCTCTGCCCCCGCACCTGTGGGGATTAGATTTCTCACCTGGGGCCTGGCTGGCAAGCTCACTCTCATAGATAGGCTGGCAGGTGCTCCCCGCTGGGCTCCTCTCAGGATTGGCCTTTTCTAGGCTCTTCTTTCCATGTTGAGAGAGGAGAAATGTGGGATCTTCTGAGGTGACATGTGATTTTCTTTGGGCCATCAAGTGCCTCTGGGAAGGAAGAGTCTGGGAGCCTTTTATTTCCAGCTGTTTCCTGGGCTCCTCTGGAGTAGTGAGCCCCGTGCTTTTCTGATCTTCCGGATGGAGAGCCCCACTTCCACAACTGGCGAGGCGAAGGGCTGATGACATGTCACTTTTCTGAGATGAAACCTTCTCCCAGTTCTGGAGCTTGTCTCTGAAGGTACTGGCCACCTCTTTCTTCTTATCAGTTACCTTAGCATTTGACTGATTCACATGTAAAGGCAGAGAAGCCTTCTGTGAATTTTCTGCAGAATGAGTAGACCTTCCTGGAGGTCCCAGGGAATTAGAACATTTCTGAATATCACTCCTTGGTGCTGACTTCATTTTTTCGGGTTCAAGAGACTGGGGTTCACCATTGGAACAATATGGTGGGGGCTGATTATGGTTGGATGAGAAGGGTTTCCCATTGGCCCAAATCGTTGACTGTGTGCTTCCAATGTCACCCTTAGGAGAAACACCTGCTAGGGATTTAATAGGTCCTGGAAGGGATGACACATCAAGCTTTTGAAATTTAGCTTGGAGCTCTTTGAAGTTTCTTAATCTTTCCTAAAGCATAAAAAATAGAAAAGTCTCATTATTTTAGGAAACAAGCAGCTCAATTAGCTGACTACACTGTTTGTGCCAAGGCTGTAAGTGCCGATATAATGCCGTTGCTCACCCATCGAGAAGATCCTCCTCCTATTGTCTATGTAGGATGGAATGAAAACAACTGCATCCTCATTGAAACACTTTGGATGTTTAATTTCTTCACAACATATTAAAACCACTTATAATGGAGACTATTAACAATTGCTGATAAATCTTTGGATACAAACTTTTGATCACATTGTTGTGAATGACTAGAACTCTCTTCATCTTTCAAAACTGGAGCTCTACACTCACTAAACAACAATTCCCTATCTCTTCACACAGCTCCCCAGCCCCTGGCAACAACCCATCTACTTTCTGTCTGTAAATTTAACTACTCCAGGTGTCTCATATAAGTGGAATTATATGTACCTGTCTTTTTGTGACTGTTATTTCACTTAACATATTGTGCTTAAGGTTCATCCATGTTATAGCACATGGAAGCATTTACTACCTTTTTGAGGCTGAATAATATTCATTGCATGTATATAATACATTTTGTTTACCCATTCATCCATTGATGGGCACTTGGATTGCTTCCACCTTTTAGTTATTGTAAATAATGCTGCTATGAACATGGGTGTACAAAATATCGCTTTGAGTCCCTGTTTTCAATTCTTTTGGTTATATACCCAGAAGTGCATTTGCTGGATCATTTCATTTTTAATTTTTTTTAAGGAACCACCATACCGTTTTCCACAGTAGCTGCATCATTCCTAACTAGAACATTTGTTATAATTTTTCTATATCCTTGCAACACTTATTTACTATATATATATATTTTTTATTTTTTGATAGTAGTCATCCTAATAGGTGCGAGGTGATTAGTGGTTAATATTTAAAAAAATATGTAGTGATGGTTATTTTTAGGTCTTCACTATCTGAAGCCACGTGAACTACAATGTTAATGCTTGGTAAATTTTAGTCTCTATAGGAATGATTAGGAAATAGAATTATGGATTACCTCCAAGCCAAGGTCCTGTAAAAAAGTCATTGGTTTAGGAGGAAACAAACCTAATTATATCTGGCTCATTCTTTTCTTAAGAAATGTTCAATAAGTATTTACTATATGGGCAAAACATTGTTTTAGACAGTCAAAGGCTCTTTAATATTACATTATAATATCAAGGATAGGCAGAAAATAAGCAAATACATATTAAAAGATTACATACAAGTACTATGTGGAGAATTAAATAGTTGATTCAATAAAGAGTGACTGTGTATCCAGTCACTGATTTTCAGAGTTACCATACAAAAGTCACTTTTCAAAAATTCTGAGTTCAATAATTTATCAAATCAGGAGGTGGTCTGGGTGATCTCCAAGGCCTGTGCCAGCATTAACATTTATATTTTGTTTTCCTTTAAATGAGAAATAGATGTGATATATTCTGTTATTATTCATCACCCATTAATGGGAAGTCAGGGTTGAGGATATAAGAGGCAAATTGAGTGAAGATGGGGTGGAAGATGGCCAGAGGGGAATTCCAGTTAAAAACATGTTCCATTTTCCTGGGCCCAAAGCTAGTCAGTGGTGACATCCTACTGATCTTAAAGAAGTTCATGAGCCTACACTTTCTTTATGTGAATGCCACTGCCTTTGAGTCCTCCTCACTTATTAAAATGATTTCTCTCTCCTTTTACTTTGGGCCCCTCTAATCCACCATTTACTTAGCTGTTAGACAAATCTGATTAAAAACACAAATCTTATGTACATCACAATTTAAAAACCTTCAACTTGGCTTCCTCAAAGTTTTCAGATATAGCTCAAACTCTTTTGCTTAGCATATACTAGTAAGGCCCTTCTTAATCCCAACTCTGTTAATTTTCTGATATCACATTGGGCCCATCTCAGGCATACTTTCTTTCTTCGGGCCTTCCTGAATTACTTACATTTTCTCAAACTTATTTTGCTCTTCATATCTCTGTACCTTTGAATGTACTGTTTCATCTGCCTGGAATATCCATCTTTCCTTCAATTTCTTGAACTAGCAAATTCCTGCTTCAAAATTCAACTCATGTCACATCAAAATACCAACTGGTTTCTTAGTATGTGCTAGGCATTAGGGTTATAGAAATGAATACGACATTCCCTGAATCTGGATACCAAAACCAGACAAGGACACAACAAGAGAAGAAAATTATAGGCCAATATCCCTGATGAACATAGATGCAAAATTTTTCAATAAAATATTTGTAAAACAAATACAACAATTCAACACTATGATCAAGTGGGATTTATTCCAAGGATGTAAGAGTGGTTCAATATCCACAAGTAAATCAATGTGATACACATTAACAAAATGAAGACTAAAATCATACAATTATCTTAACAGGTGTAGAAAATGCCTTTGACAAAATTTAACATTCATATATGATAACTTTCAACAAAGTGAATACAGAAGGAACATACCTCAACATAATTAAGGACATATATAACAAACCCAAAGCTTACATCATACTTAATGGTGAAAAGCTGAGAGCTTTTTTTCTAAGATCAGAACAACACAAGGATGTTCACTCTCATCAGTTTTATTAAACACTAGGGGCCCGGTTCATGAAGATTCATGCACTGGGGGAGGATGTGGAGGGGGGGTCCCTCAGCCCGACCTGCACCCTCTCCAATCTGGGACCCCTCAGGGGAGCCCTCTCCAATCCGGGAGTTTCTGTTTTTGCAATCATATGAGCGAATTGCCCGAGACCCCCAACCCAGTTTGGTTTGTTGCTCACAGAATAATAGAGGCATTTTTTTTTTCTTTGCTCCATTGGTGGAGATTTCCTGGAAGTTTTAGGATATCTTCCCTTTAATTTTTCCTAGACACTTTGATTTTACCTATGTCTCTCACCTTTGCTTTCCCTCCATACCCAACCACAACAGTAACTTGCTCCAGGCTCACTTTGCTCTAGTGTCTAGGAGATCCATCTGCCACCAGAACTATGATTCCCAGCATTCCTGGTGCTACCTGAGCTCTGGGCTTCCACTTCTGGTCCTGGGGCTGCCATCAGAACTACGGTTCCCAGCATTCCTGGTGCTCCCTGCACTCTGGGTTTTCCCGACCGAGGGAGCCACATCCCCCCAAGTTGCTGGCTCTCCCACTCTGCTCTGTGTATGCAAATTACCCACTATCTTTGTTGGTTTAATTTGCGTACTCACTCCTCATTGGCTGGTGGGTGTGGCTTGAGCATAGGGAAAGGATGGCTAATTTGCATGTTTCTCTTTCATTATATAGGATAGTATTGGAAGTCCTAGCTAGGGTGATAAGGCAAGAAAAATAAATAAAAGGCATGAAAATTGGAAAGAAAGAAGTAAAACTGCCTTTATTTGCAGATGACATAATATACATATAGACAAGCCAAGCCCTGGCTGGGTAGCTTAATTGGTTAGAGCATCATCCTGATTCATCAAGGTTGTGAGTTTGATCCTGGTCAGGGCATATACAAGAACCAATAAATGCATAACTAAGTGAAACAACAAATAGATTTCTCTCTCTCTCTCTCTCTCTCTCTCTCTCTCTCTCTCTCTCTCTCCCCCTCCCTCCCTCCCTTCCTCCCTCCCTTTCCTTCCCTCTCTGTTTCTAAAGAACTCAGTAAATAACAAATTTAATTAGAGCTTAACACCAAAAGAAGAATTTTAAGAAGCCCAAAGACTCCACCAAAAACTGTTAGAACTAATAAACAAATTCAGTAAAGTTGCAGAATACAAAATCAACATACAAAAATCTGTTGTGTTTTTATACACTAATAACAAATTATCAGAAAGAGAAATTACAAAACTATCCTATTGACAATTGCATAAAAAAGAATAAATACCTAGTAATAGTAATAAATTTAACCAAGGAGGTGAAAGAGCTATACCTGAAAACTATAGGACACTGATGAAAAAAATTGAAGATGAAAGAAAGAAATGGAAATATATTCTGTGTTCCTGGATTGGAAGAATTAACATTGTTAAAATGTCCATATTACCTGAAGCAATCTATACATTCAATGTGATCCCTATAAAATTTTTAATGGTAAAAATTTAATGGTATTTAATGGTATTTTCACAGAAATAGAACAAATATTTTTTAAATTGTGTGGAGCTACAGAAGACTCCAAATAGCCAAAAAAAAAAATGTCTTGAGAAAGAAAAACAAAGCTAAAGGCACTACACTCCCTGATTTAAAACCATATTACAAAATTAGAGTAATCAAAACAGCATGGTATTGGTATTTAAAAAGACACATAAATTAATGGAAAAGACTAGAGAAGTTAGAAATATATCTACACATATAAAGTCAATTAATTTACAACAAAGGAACCAAGAATAAACAATGGGGAAAAGGACAGTCTCTTCCATAAACAGCGTTGTTATAACTGGACAACCACATGCAAAAGAATGAAAGTGGACTTCTGTCTTACACAATACACAAAAATCAACTCAAAGTGGAATAAATACTTGAATGTAAGACCTGAAATCATAAAACTCCTAGAAGAAAGCACAGGCAGTAAGCTCCTTAACATTAGTTTTGGCAATGACTTTTTGGATCTGACTCCAAAAGCAAAGGTAACAAAATAAAGAATAAACTACATCAAGCTAAAAAAATTTCTGAACATCAAATGAAAATATCAACAAAATGAAAAGGCAACCTACAGAATGTGAGAAAATAGTCACAGATCATATATCTGATAAGGGGTTAATATCCAAAATATATAAAAACTCATACAACTCAATAGCAAACAAAAAATTTAATTGAGAAATGGGCAGAAGATTTTTCCAAAGAAGACATACTGATGGACAACAGGTACATGAAAAGGAGCCCAACACTACTAATCATCAGAGAAATGCAGATCAAAACCACAATTAGATATCACCTCACATCTGTTAGAATGGCTATTATAAAAAAGATAAATAACAAGTGTTAGAGAAGATGTAGAGAA